CTTTGTTTACAGCGGTAACCAAGGAAACGCTATTGCGGTCGGTTCATAAACAGTGTTGCCAAGTCCGCGGAATTGGAGTAACGTTACTTTAACACTGTTGCCGCGGGTTGTTGTTCATGTCCGCGGGTTGAAGCGACCCCAATAACGTGATATTTATCCCCTGGAATACGACTTTTACTGGAAGATCCCCACCGAAAAACGTGTATTTTACCCCCAGAATGAATTTTTACAGGGGAACCCCCTCGAAAAGCGATTGGACTGGTTTTTTTGCGAAAACCTGGCAACCCTGTTCATAGGCGCCACCTGCTGTCAGAGAGTGCGTCTCATTCAGACCTGCTGTTTTTGTTTCGTGCAGATGTTTTATGTAGCAAATAAATAAATAACAGCTAAAGTCAGACCATTTTGTTTTTGTTTTAAATCCGGAAATTAATCTAAATCAAATCAAAAACAACTGCTCGTGCAGATCGTGATTAAAATGCAGTGGTTTCCTCTAATTTCAAATGGCTAGATATTTTAGTTTGAAGCCAGTTTGTTTGTTATAAAGCAAATAGCCAATAAATAAATTTGCTTAAATATCAGTATCAGAATCAGCCAATTTGCTAGTTAAAAAAAAAGAAAGAAAGAAAGAAAAGAAAATCTGAATTCTGAATCAGCTATGATCGGCGCATCACTAATTAAAATACTAAGTAAAAGGCCTCAAATTTGAAGCACAATCTGGGATGTCTTTTTCTATCAATTCTTCAATAGGTAGATCTTGTCTTTCATAAAGGCCGAGGTCAGGGATCTTGGGCCTAAAAAGGTTGGTGACCACTGCTTTAGTTGTTCACAAACTGACCAGCAATCACATCTTTAACGCAACTCTTTATTTTTTAACTCGTTCACACAAGCCCTGTCGCGTTCCTCCTACTTCGCAGGTTTTATATTAGACCGTTTGATTGATGGTGTCTCACCGTTCTCTCTCATGTTTTCAGAAGCATCCTGGTTTTGCTGGACTCCAGATGGGCCTGGCTGAGCCTGGTTTTGGGCCTGAGCTTGAGCCTGAGCCTGAGCCTGAGCCTGGGTATTTGCCCACATGCAGTGTCTCATCTTACGCCACAACTTCCCACGAGGGAACCACTGCACACAAAAGATTCACTTGAATCAGTATGTTCAGATCATTTGGAAACCAAAATGTATTGTACGTAGTACAATACACACAGACACAAAAGCAGTAAAACCGGCATTCACCTCAAACATGTTGGCCATGGGGTGAAAGAGGGGCAGGAGAGGATGCTCCTTGTGGAGGCCTTTGCCCTGGCAGGAGGAGCACAAGTCATAATCGGGGCAAACGGTGCACTTGAAACGTGTTCCAACCACCGGCCCGTCGCACCCGTCACAGGTCACCCCTGAGTGCAGCATTGGAGGGTAATGATGAGGAGGCCCCATGTGAGGTGCTCCTGGGGGACCCATTGGAGGTGGACCCATAGGATTAGGTCCTGGGGGGCTAAAGTGAGGTGGGGGGAATGAGAACCCAGGGACCCCATGAGGTGAGGGATCACGTTTGTGCTCCTTTCTTTCTGAAAAGGGAAGAAATGCGAGTATTGCTGTTAATTGGAGATGTTTGTGTACACTGGAGACATTTAAAAGACTCAAGGGTGTAGTACTATCAAATGCCTCTTGTAAGAATCTGTTCACATTCTTTGAATGTATTGTCATCGTCATACATTTTTCCCATCAAAAGAGCTTGTAATACATGTAAGTGGCTATTACCAGGCCAGATAGCAGAGAATACAACATTTATAGTATTCAAAGCTTCATAATTCTAAGAATGAGCTAAAGAACCAATAAAAGAATGTCACGAGTAATTGCAAAAACAATGAACAACATATTAATTAGTTTCACTATGGCCAGGCTGCTACTTTATATTCATGGGGTCAATGGATGTTTAAGATTATGAAAATATGTACAAACTGCCTTGATTAAAAAAAAAAAATCCTTGTTTCCTTCTTGGTTTCATCCACTTCTGAAAATGTTTGTACAGTATTTCATTTAACAAAAATGTAAAGCCTAAAAAGTCAAGTAGTGTAACCATGAATCAAGTTTCGTGGAGTTACTCCATTTGGCTTGAACTAACCTAGGCTTTTCATAAAATCGCATTATCTTTTTAAAACTAATACTGACTATGACCTCTCAACATAAAACACGGCAGAGCAAACGACACTTGCATGGCAAATGTAATATGGCCAGATTATACACATACTATATAGAATGTCATTTTTTAATGGTCTCAAAGTAAGTGCTTATTCAGAAGAAGTACCTAGTCATATGCGATTTCAGACAGACCCAGTCATCAGGGTCTGTTGGTCTATCTGTGATACTTCCTGTTTACAGTTTTCTTGTCACATGACAACAAAATGACTTCTGATTTGTGCATTCTTATTTGGATTGAATTTTCTAAGAAATAACTTTTTATTAACAGCCTCCAAACAGTTACACTACCTAGCCAGACAAATACATTTCAATTCAAAGATTGATGCTCTTCATAGAAGAGATATATTACAGTTATTGTCTGTATGAAATGCATTTTAATGTAATTTTGAGTAGCTTAATAGATCTGAACCATGTCATTGAACCTTAGGTGTGCTGAGCCTTTGCCTTCTCTGTTGCTGTCTCCGGTGGAGGGCAGTAGTTTCTACCATCTCTAACAAGTTTTTTTTGTTTTTTGTTCAAATATGAATTTGAATTTGTTGTGTAGTGTTTGTCTTCTGTCTAAAGGCACATGACAAACTCAAGCCCAGTGCCTCCTATCTTGAAAGGAATACTGTAAGTGCTAGATACATTAAAGAAGCAGATGATGAATTATAATTAATTCTTATGTTGAATTAAATTTGGAGCAAATAACACACACACACATACACACAACTAGGTAAACATATATTACAATAACCCAAAACCCTTGGTCTTGCTAAGAAGTAGTATCTGTATAATTACTTACGCTTGATGTAGAGACGGAAAGTGTCATCCTTCACAAGAGCCAAGCCCATCATTAGCTCATCATCAGAGGAGAACGCAATCATGTCACCATCGTCATCTGGAGACAAAGCCCAGGATGTTATTTCAGCTGGTTAAAATGACTGCCCTTATATTTTGGCTAATTTATTGTATGTAGATTCTGCTGCTGTCCTTCCCTTCATGGTAATTTAATAGCACGGTGCTCACATAACTTTGTATCGAGGTGTATCAATGCGCAAAGTTGATACACCTCAATTTAAAGTCTTGCCAATATTATATTTCATTTTAAAGAGGTTTATTTTCCTAAACGTGCCCAAGTCTAAATTCTCTTTGTTGAATGTCATTTAAACTTCAGGTAGATAAATTAAACAATAATTTTATAGTATTAACAATAAGAAATGACAATTATTATCAGTTTTGGGGAAAGTTACTTTTAAAAGTAATGCATTACAATATTGCGTTACGCCATAAAAAAGTTACTAATTACGTTACTTAGTTACATTTTATGGAAAGTAATGTGTTACGTTACTTTTGCACTACTTTTTAAATCTGGACAGGGCTTGCTTGTTTGTTTTTAAAATAAAAAAGTTATATTTTTGGCAAATATAAAAGCCTTTTCACACCAAAAGTGAAATGAATAAGCCTCAGGCTGAAGGGAAAGTAAATTTACGTCCGTATAGTAGAATGCAGAAGAAGAAATTTCAACACACTTCAGCAATAAAAAAGACACAAATGTTTGTCTAGAGTAATTTGTGCTTATTAGTACGGTTGAACTGGATCATCGAAGGTCAGAAGCAAAGACATTGGTTAATAGAATGGGATTAAATACATAAAGGATATTTGTGTTGTTTAACATTTAATTATTGCAGGTTTGCGTCATATTCTGAGTTGCATTATTTTTATTCATTTTGAGGAATACTGAATCGGTGTTTTTGTTTTTTGTGAGTGAGATGAATTAATGCATAATCATATTTATTTTAGAACTACAGTAACATGATTTCTCTCATCATGGGGACAGGAGAGCTGTCAGTCAATAAATTGGGAAAAAAAGTAACAGATATTCTCTTGTAAATTAAAAAGTAACGCGTTACTTTACTAGTTACTTGTAAAAAAAGGAATCTGATTACGTAACTCGCGTTACTTGTAATGCGTTACCCCCAACACTGATTATTATTATTATTATTATAAAATTAGAATTAAAAACTGACTTACCTTTATAGAACATTTGAAAGGGCGCAGTCCTGAGACCGACGAAGACATCGAGCACTTTTCTCTTCAAATACTCAAAACTTGTTGAGACATCCTGATCCACGGCAAAGCGGCGGATCTCCTTGTTGCAGTCCTCCTTACCGGTAAGGTAAGCTTTCACTGTCATCGACATTGTAGCGAAAAATAGCGTCTCGGAGCGAACCTCAGGATGTGTTGCGCAGCAGAAAATGCGTTTCTTGAACACGGGACTCTGCGCTGGCTGCGTGAGATTGCGTTTCCTTCCTCAGCCCACAGTTCCGTATATAAGCCTGAGCGTCATATGCAAATCCAGCGCTGAGGCGAGAGCGTCATATGCAAAACTAGCAGTGCATCGGCCAATAGCTGAGGCGAGCGCGTCTTGGCAGGAGGGGATGTCCAGCGTTCATGTCGTCTCTGATCATGTGAGTCGGTGATCTGAGCAATGACCTGGCAATATGTGAGGGGAAATTCCCTCTGAACTCACCCTCTGGATCACTGCCAAAGAATACGGCCCAAACGACAACAATAAACGTGTAATAATATTGTGAATGTCACTGTAATTCTCTAATTCTTCACTTTTAACAAATGGTAGCTACATTTCTTGTGGCTAACTTGCTCATTTTGAGACAGGGAATGTCACACAGTCTTTCTTGCTTCTGCTATAACAATATAACAATGTTTTTTTCCACATGCATTTATGTATGTATTTATTTAGATGTGAATACACATATTTATATACATATATGCACATAACATGTATGCATTTATTTAAATATGTATATGCATTATTTTGATGCAATCTTTGCTTTACTCAGTAACTGTCAGCATGAAATCTGGAAATCGATTATACAAGCTCTACTAACCCGCATAAGGCTGATATGGTTGGTGTGAGGGTCTTGTATTTCTTCTACAGCTGCTAGCTAAATAAAGTGCTGTGTCATCATGAACGAGGGTTAGCAGACGCCTATTGAACTTGGCTCCCTGAAAAAAAACACATTTTGTAAACTATATGTACCGAACAAACTTTAAACTTAAGAATTCATTATGTATTCTCCATCATCATTTCATAATCATGTATAAAAACGTAATAAATATATTTTGTATAGTTGTATATATATACACCACGATACTAGAAATGTGGACTGATGAAGAATATTAATATTTATAATTATTCATGTATTAATTGACATTCATTCTTTTATAATTATAAATTACATTTTAGTCATTTTTTATTTAATATTTTAATACTACTACCACTAATAATAAGAATAATTGTTATTATTATTAATAATAATAATAAAATATAAATATACTGTGTCATCATGAATGAGGGTTAGAAGTCGACCTTTCAATATTTGTTCCTTAAAAACCACATTAAGGAGTGTGTGTGTGTGTGTGTAAACAACATGTTCACAGTTATTAAACTATTACTTTTATAATTAAAGAATAAATATTAATTGATATTTTATTTTAGAATACTACTACTACTATTACTGTTATTACTATTATCTTTGGACTTTATCTTTGAATCTATTAATATTAATCAATATAAGCAAACTTAATTTCAGCCACCATTTAACCTTGTTTACATTAGACATTTCAGCTCTAAATTTTGGTGTAGCCATATGATGTCAGAAGTTCGTTACCCCTCCCTCACCTACAGTCCTCCACACAGTGACTCTTTATTCTAGAAGCCTCCTGAAGAGTCAGAGATCGGAAAGAATGCCGTCACTCCGGAGGCGCGGGGCGTGGCTCTGTCAGCTGACTCTGACTCACGCGCGTCATGTGCTTTGCTTTGTTTACAAGCAACATCTCCACATCCTTATAACACTGATAATGAGCTCGTATTCGCCCGAACAAACAGCCCATGATTTAAACAGACAGACCCTATCGATTAGAGACACTCTTAGATGTTCTCTTATTACTTTAAGTCGAAAGCACAATAGTAAAGATAAATGAATCAGGTCAGTGAGAGTTTTCATGTTTAATTGGTGAACTGCATTAAATGTTAAACATGAAGATTCCTGCCTTTAATTAGCCTATATGTTTAAATGAAACTGTAGAGTCTAACAATTGTTCATGTATTTACAGATACGTGTGTTTTAACGGGTTAAAGAAGTTTAACCTACAGTACAGTGCATTATCGACTGTCCATCTGCTGTTAGGACTCACAATAGTGTACGGTGGCCGTGAAGTGCAAAACAAATCACAATTCTGAAAACAAAATAACAAATTACAAACGCAAATGCAAGTCTAAAAAACAAAATAACAATTCAGAAAACACAACAACAATTCAGAAAACATTATAACAAGTCAGAAAACACAATGACAAATTCGAAAACAAAATAACAAGTCAGAAAACACAAGACAAATCCGGAAACTATAGGCCTATACTGTATGTAGATTACTGAACTATCTTTAAACTTAATGCATGTCCATTTAAAAATAATATGTAACAACTTAAATATATATTTGT